AGGTATGGAGATAGGACATATCCCTGGCGTACGCGCTTCCCAATGTTGAACCATGCAGTCAGTGTTCACTTGCTCTGTTCTGATGACTGCCTCCTGGTCCAAGTATTGGTTTCACATTAGAATGATCAAGTGTTCTTGGATTCCCATTTGTTCCTCAGGCTGCATACAGGGGGCATAAAGAAGCCTTAACTAGCGAGAAGATGGGCAGGTAAAGGGTACATAAAACTCCCCACCCATTTCCCAGGTGACATTGAAGACGCCAAAATCGCGTGGAATTCTTTCGGGCTCTCGGGCCTGCAGCCGTTGGGTCAAGAAAAACCTATCTACCCCCCAGTTCTACAGGACACATCGCCTTCACTCAGGAAACATTATCACTAAACTTCAGAGACACTGGTCCCAACATAAGAAACTACCAGCAACTGATGTGTTTGGAATCACCGAAGCCAAGGAAGCTTCATATATAAGCTATTAGATCAAGGGCTGGTCAATGGGAGATAGATGTGAAAGGAGTGGGTAGTATTGGATGGGTATCCTGGTGGATGGTGTAGCAGGGAAATAATTGGCTAAAGACACGTGTGCCAAAGGCAGGGACAACACTGATATTAATGGTTAACTACACAATAAGGGATATACCTTTCACTTTTTCTATAAAATGCTGGTCTGTCTGATACTTCTCTCAATCTGAACATTCAGACTAGGACAGACTAGGAAGAAGGATTGGCCATCCACTTTTGAAATAGCAGGCCTCTGAAAACCCTATGTACAACAGAGAGTGTGGAAACTATAGAACAATATCATTGATTTTATATGCAAGCAAGATTCTACTGAAGATTATCCAAAAACGACTGGAACAGCACATCAGCAGAGAATTGCCAGAAGTCCAGGCTGGGTTTAGAAGGGGTCGTGGCACTAGGGATAATTGTACCTGATGTTAGATGCATCTTAGCTGAAAGCAGGGAATACCAGAGGAATGTTCATCTGTGTTTCATCAACTATGCAAAGGCGTTTGACTGTGTGGATCATAACAACCACAGCTATAGTACTTAAAAAATAATTAGTATAGAAGTATAGTTATAATTAGTTTATAAAATAAGCTGGGAAGCCAGCTTCGAGAAAGTATTTTATTACCATCACAACTCCTCTTTTTTAAATATCTAAGGTGCCAAGGACCAAGAATAACTCTTAAGTGTCTGCCCCTCTCCCATCTTTTTTACCAGTTAAGTAGACAGAAGTGTATGGGGGGTTTTGTTGTGTGAGTGGTTTTTTTTTTAATTTAATTGTGTGTGTGTGTGTGTGTGTGTGTGTGTGTGTGTGTGTGTGTGTGTGTGTGTACAATGGGAATCCCAGACCATTTAATCGTGCTAATGCGAAACCTAT